CAGACAGGGTCGTCCCAATATGCGTTTTTGCAATTTGCATATAGGCAAAAACGCATAAAAATGTGGTTCGAACTGCTAAGGGGAGTATCATCCACCTATCAAAAGTATTTGAAAAAAGAATGACAAATCGTGTCTATAATTTGCTATTTCTTGCTAATTCGTAATAAATCATTATAATTCACCATTTAGAAATCTTTGAAATAAGAAAAATTCCTCACCATAATGCGCCGAAGTCTCATTGCTTCAAAAAGTCGTTCAAAAGCAACTCGCATTTCATCCAATTGAGCATGAATCAGCTGTAATAATGTAATCAAAATATACTAACATCTGAATATTTCAAGTTTTTAACGTAGCTCAGAAATAATTATCCTTTATTTTGATACCTCGGCATATCCTTTTTGATGCTCACTTTAAACATTAAAGTTGATATCAGTTTCACGCATGTTTAAACCAGGCAGAATTGTTCGTCGAAAAACGAGCTGCAGCTTCGTTAGTGATCGTTTACGTAAATTATATCAAATTACATATTTTCCTTATGCGCACTCATAATCGTACGCGCGCATATGCATACATGCATATATAAGCACAGTTATGAAGTAAATGAGTATAATTTCAGTGATCAGTTAAGAAATAATATGTGTTTCTGATGAACGATTTTTACCTGTGCGTTAACTAAGCCCACGCGGACCAAAGCGGATGAGCCCGAAGTGGCTACATTCATTGTATGAGTGTATTCCAGGAATAACATTAGATTTTAATTGATTGTCAGGAAACGTAATTATCCTAGTAGCAAATATTTTCGGTGTTGTAAGAGAATAATGTAGTTCAAATGATTAATTTAAAAAGACATCTTTCGATATTAAAACCTACGTTATTTAGTACGTGTTACGACCAAATCTACTTCATTTTAGCGGCAAATGCCAGCAGTTTGCCAATAGCAAATATGTCTGTACCAAAATTTCTCGAATGTGAGCAAGGCAATTCCAGAAAAAATCTCCTTAGCTAGCAAGTTTTCCTAGCGAACTTCATTTTCAGGATATTACTTTTTCAAAGCACTCAGGCCAAATCTTTTGCTAAGGACATTTCCTGCCGGCTGAAGTGCTGCAAGCCAAAGAAGCTTAATCAATCACCGTTGTATGAAAATGCTATAAAATTAAGCAAACAACTGCTCTCACTTCCGAGTCATGTTCGGAGAGCACGGAACTGTGATTAGCCGTATCGTTACGTGACCTGCAATTGAATAATTCAAAATAGTATTTTTCTCATGTCAGTGCGGTATAATTTTTAATACATCTAAATATTTTGTCATTTGTAGCCAAAAGTAAAATCCAGTGGATGGAATATTCTGCTAACCCTGGAATTCACATATTTTTGAGTGGCACTCGCAAAAAGGTGAGAAATCACACATACGACCTCTAAAAAGAATCACATGCCATCGAACAATTCGGTGAGCACGGCAAAGAATCTGGCATAGCCGAATCACCAAAGACTAAATTTAGATAAAACAAAAGCAAAACGCTTTTTATTGGGCAAGTATACAAGAAGGAATTATCGAAATTGTTTTTTTAGCAATTCAAATGCTGGTACGTTTTGAAAAATCAAAGATGAAGGAAGTCGTTTTATCTATTTACTGCAGGGATCCAAATTTGCAAGCTTTTTGCCGGAACTCAGTTCTCTCTGAAAAATGTAGTCCCTTGATGAGAAGTCTAGTTGGCCATTTTGGTAATCCTCTTAGTAGGGGCGATGACTTACGCTGTGTCACTGACGTTTTCGAATGCGGCTGATTGCACTTGCAAACTGTCAGTAATTGTTCCTGCAATCAGAGACTTTTGTAACGCCACTGTTGAAAATACTGTATAAACCAAACACCATTTGAAGGGCCCCAAGCCGAAGTTAAGTATGGAGTCTAAAATTTTACTCGCAAATTAAATAAACCTTCCGTTGGCATTGCCGAAATGGTAGTTGTCACAGTGAGCAGCGCGATTGCAACAGTAGTGACAGCTGACATTCTGTAGCACATTTTAGCCTGAATTTTGTAGCACATCAATGAAATCTTTGCTCAAACTGTTTGTCAAAGTAAGCATTTTATAAACGCAAATGGAAAGCCATAAACGCAACTAGAAGAGTTTTAATAGGTTTTCAACTCCAAATTAGACTTCACAAACTGTGACTTCTATAAACGTATGCGAAAATGAGAAAGGCAAAGGCGATAGACTTGCTACAGTAGCTAAAACAAACGAAGCGTTTGTTGAGGACATCTAATACTGGAAAAAAACGGAACGAAGATAAAAGTGGATTGTGACAAGCTCAAAAAAGAACAACGAAATTGATTGCACCTTAATTATTGCTTGCCACACTGATAGCCCGAGCGATCCTGGTATTCGTAGTAAGTCAATACAATACCAATTTTTGACAAATGTTTGCAAATAAATTTTTTTATTTTTTGAAATTTCGTAACAGCTTTCAACTTCGGGAACAGGACTACTAGTAACTCTTTTTCGTTCTTTCATAGCAACCACCAGCCATAGAAAAGGTTTATTACCAACTCATCAGATAAGTTTCACAGCTCTAGTTGAGTCAAGAACACTGAAAATGCCTAGTGTTTTTGTAGAACCTCAACCTGCCGCAGTTGGTCAGCATTGGATCTACAAATGTTCTTCCAAGCGAATCCATCTGTTCTATGCTCTGTGCGTTTTAATTTCGCAGTTGATTCTGAAGCTCACTGCGTTTATGAGGTTGGCAGCTCGGATACGTGTCGCTGTGTTTATAGAGCCATATAGTACTGTACAAAATATTCTCAAATTAATGATTTAGAGCACTGGTAATTGGCTTCTGCGTGAAACTCGAATAGTCTCCGAAGATACGGCGCATACATCAAACGAACGGGCAGTGCGGATGATCAACTAGATAAATGTACCTCTATTTCGAAGTTAGTAGCACAGCTGTATCTGTTGGCACCACTAACATCTGCTTTCCAGACAGATAACCCGGTCAGTCAAGACGATGTAGAGTTAACTACCGAGCCTATGATAGAAATTTATAACACGTGTAGTAGCTGCTGCAGTGCTTATCCTTATCAGGTGGTGCAGAAGGATCGAGAAAGAGGAGTAAGGCGGCGAATGTAAGCTTGTCGGACTTTGAAGAAATATGGTTCGAGTAGGATTTTTGAGCGAAAGTTTAGGAGTTTTCTGTCGCAAAGAGACCACAGTTTTAGGTGAAAAGTGAAAAATTCAGTGATAAATTTCATGTAGTTTAGAAATCGTAGCTTGCCATTTTATAGATAGAGGCTGCCAAGTGTGTGGCATATTTTGGCACCTCAATTAATTCATATTTCTCTATTTCTTTTTACCAATGCCTAACATTTTGTTATAACATTCATTAAAATCACTGTCGAGCTTTGCATAAGCTGTTTCTTTCCCTCTCTCGGTACCGATATTTCCTGGAATTCCCTTTCCATCTTGACTCCTTTCAGAGGAACTCTTTCCTTATTTACTATTTTTTATACCCGTAATCTCCCGACTGTTCACTGCGGTATGGTTTTTTTTGGCAGTAGCGACAGCGAAGAATAATAATCCGGCTCGAGTATTGACATATATTGGTCCCAAACCTTCGTAACAGTGACTTTTGTGCGTTTTTGCACAAATGCAAAAACGCACATTCTGATGATCCCTGTGTGTGTGTGTGTGTACTTATATTTGTGTGTGTGGGTGTTCGTCTGTCCGAGCATTTCAACTCGACAACCAAACAAGCGCCGGCGCCAAAATTTTGCCAGTGGCTTCCCCGACCAAGTGCCATCCCAGGCCGCGGTACCAACCTTCACGCACGTCTGGGCTCCGCGTACGAGCGCGTGAAGGTTATGGCGGGAGAGTCGCTAACTCGGGAACCAGAAAAGTCCGAAAGCTGAAATTTTACGGTTATCTTCCCCGTACTCATAGAACTCTAGGATTTCAAATTCAGCCTCCAGGTAAGCGTGTTTCTCACGCACGGTCTCGTGAAGGTTCCTAGCTGGAAAATCGCTAACTTTGGATCCAGAAAAGCTGGGCGGCTGAAATTTTCAAGGAATGTTCCCAGCCCATGTACAACTTAAATTTATCATATTCCATCTCCAGGCATGCGTGGTCCTCACGTACGGCTCCGTGAAAATTTTTGGCGGGAAAATTACTAACTCGGGAACCAGAAAATCTGAGAGCTGAAATTTTAGAGTCACATCCCCAGCTCCTCGCAAAAATTAAAGATATCAAATTCAACTCCCAGATACGTGTGGTTCTCACGTACGGTTCTGACCCACGAAATTTTTCGGAAGAAAATTGCTGACTCAAGAACCAGAAAACTTGGGAAGCTGAAATTTTAACGGAATTTTGCGAAAATTAACTTCCCGAACTTCGAGGATTTCACTCTAGCTACTGGGTTTCCAAGCTATCTCACTGCAACACAAAATACCGCGAAAACGCATAATCGCACGGGCCAGTCCGGTGTGCGTCGCCGGTGAGTATTTTTTTTTTTTTGTGACAAAGAAAATTGCCATAACCGTTGTCATTTTATCAGCAAGTTGTACTTTCCTAGAGAAGTTTTATATAATTCATTAATTAGACAGTGCCGCATCAGCTATTCTGTTGAGGGATTACGATTTTGGCAGATGGCAGCGTCAGGTTTGAATCGTCGAGTAAAGTCAGCATTCGAAAATAACACAGTTGGTGTGGAAGTATCCCAGCATTTCGATTAACATGGGATCATCGCAACTACTGGGGGTTCATGGTATTCGTGGTGTGCTGAAAATTTTTTAGTAATATTTTTACTTTTATGTTTGAGGAAACTGCTCTTATTACGCAAAAACTGTCAATGTCTTTGATTGTGTACTTGATCAATACTTGATCACTTTGATACTTGATCAATGCTTATACTGTACTTGTTTCTTGCATTCCGCTCATTTTCGAGAAAACAAAATTCCGGTACTTAAACTCTATTGCTTATGTTTGGTGCAAGTTTTGAATTTGCCGTGTTACTTGTAAATGCGTGTTGTTTACCATATTTTCTGTTTGTAAGCAAAAGCTTAATCATTTATGATTTTCTGCTGCAATAAATGGATTTTTTTTAATAAAAATGGCATATTTTTCCCATTCTTCTGTCTGGTGGACACTTGCTGCTAAGAATGCTTTTTTGCTCTGCAATATGATGTGTACTAAAACTGTTGAATTGTTTTCCGAGAACAAAATTTTGGATGTCCGCATGTAAAACATGCGTACGCAGACGCGGAATTTGAATTCGGAGAGAGTACATTTACATGAAGCATTCTTTTAAATTTTCGGATTTCTACTTTGCTCGGTTTGTCGAATGGCAAGACACCCTTGCAGTTTCAGTATTTTTATAAATGAGTTGTGAGCATAAGAGAACGAGAAACGCACAAGATGGAGAGTTAAAATGTTTGAAATATCCAAATATTTCAGCTTTCGATTTTATTTATTCTCAAATTGAATGATGCTACATCTTTCTTCTCTTTCTTGTGCCCGCACGTAAAATGTAGGGTTGCATGGCCGAGCAGTTGTAGGAGGCATCCTCATTGGAATTTTAGTTTTGTTTCTTACACACATTGCCTTAGCTAGAAAATTTTCGACTCGAAATTTCACGCGATTCATCGGCAAGTATAGAGACTGGAATTTAATTTGTAGAGTTGCAGATGGACAAAAAATTTATTGTAAAGGCGATGTTCTCGCCCTGCTTTCCACCGCCATTAAAAATACAAAATGAAACAAAAAATTGAATCACCTTCCGGTGGAATTCCAATCAAACGTCGGAAAGCGACGCAACTCCGCAAGCAGTGCAGCTGAAGTTCTAAAACTTTCTGAGCTCGTTCAGGACCGCCTATGAACAATCGTACGCGAATATAGCATTCACGCTGCCATTTATGTACGAGCAGGTGAAATCTGATGTATTTTCGCAGTCAGAGCAACTGGGGTGCTGGAAATTTGCGAGCTTTGCCAGGGAGGTGTTTGAGCAACCGCAGACGAAGACATTATTCACTTTGCCACTCACGTACGAATAGGTGAAATTTGCTGCAGCTTCGCAACCGAAATATCTAAAGTGCTGAATTTTTTTGTGTGTGGATTGGAAGTCACTGTAGTAATTTCTAACAGCTGTGGTAGTTACTCTCATTTCTCTTAGCTAGAAGCATCTGCCAGAAAAAACAGTGCCATTAGCAACAAAGACCTGCAGGGGAAATGTGCAAAAAACGCTTCTTCGCACCGGCAGCCGGTGCGCTCTCGACTAAGTTTTTATGCGTTTTGTGCTGTGTAACAGCAGTACAAAACGCAAATTGTTACGGGGTTGTCTGTG